TACGAGCTAAAAATTGAACGCGCTTTTCAAGAACAAGGGCAACAACTCATACTAAATATTTGTCGATTCTTCTGATTTTCAATAGGGTTCATCCTTGGGTGATTACGAACATTCACACCAAGTTTCATCAAAATCCGCCAAGAATTGTGCCTTCTAGGGGGATTACGAGCTAAAAATTTAACTCATTTTCAAAAGCAAGGGCAATAATTCATATTAAATATTTTTCGATTTTTCTGATTTTCAATAGGGTTCATCCTTGGGTGATAACAAACACTCATGCCAAGTTTCGTCAAAATCCACCAAGATTTGTACCTTCTAGATCGTTTACGTGCTAAAAATTGAACGCGTTTTGAAGAACAAGGGCAACAACTTATACTAAATATTTTTCGATTCTTCTGATTTTCAATAGGGTTCATCCTTAGGTGATTACAAACACTCATGCCAAGTTTCGTTTAAATCCATCAAAAATTGTCCCTTCTAGAGTGTTTAAGAGCTAAAAATTGAATGCGTTTTCAAGAACAAGGGTAATAACTCATACTAAATATTTTTCGATTCTTCTGAATTTCAATAGGGTTCATCCTTGGGTGATTAGGAACACTCTTGCGAAGTTTTGTCAAAATCCGTCAAGAATTGTGTCTTGTAGAGTGTTTACGAGCAATTGTGGATGGACGGACATGGTTGACGGAAATATACGCCCCCCATTTCATGTTGGCGTATAAAAACTATATATTAACAAAACAATAATGTCTCCTGAGCTCTAGATTTCATAATAAATTCAAATATTCACACTGAAGATCATTTAAAATTTTGAAAGATTACATTGTCACATTAAAGATAACATTTCCACATTAAAGATTACATTTTCACATTAAAGATTACATTTTTACATTAAAGATAACATTTTCACTTTAAAGATTACACTTTCACATTAAAGATTACATTTTCACTTTAAAGATTACATTTTCACTTTAAAGATTACATTTTCACATTAAAGGTTTCATTTTTACATTAAAGATTACATTTTCACTTTAAAGGTAACAATTTCACATTAAAAATTACATTTTCACATTAAAGATTACATTTTTACAATAAAGATAACACTTTCACATTAAAGATAACATTTTTACATTAAAGATAACATTTTTACATTAAAGATTACATTTTCACATCAAAGATTACATTTTCACTTTAAAGATAACACTTTCAAGTTAAAGATTACATTTTTACATTAAAGATTACATTTTTACATTAAAGATTATATTTTCACATTAAATATAGCATTTTCACATTAAATATAACACTTTCACAGTAAAGATTACATTTTTACATTCTGTTTTGCATACTGCTATTACATTTACAGATTATCAAACAAAAGAGATGCTATTTTGAAATATTGGTTAGTTACACAATATAAGATAGGTGTACTCAGATTGAATTATTATCATATCACATCTTCACGTCTGAAAAACAAACAGTCTTCATAAATATCAAAATGAATTTAAAATCTAATCATTTATTATTGTCCAGTTAGAAAATGTGATAAACAAAGACCATACATTTTTTAAGACAAACTAATGGTGATTTAGCCGGCTAGCTTGATTCATTGGCTAGCTTGATTCATTGGCTAAACACTGTAAAACAAACGTCACAAACGTCAAAATCTTAAACATAAAGTTGGAAAAGAGAGAATTAAATGGAAAGAAAATCATATTAAAATGAAAATTTACATGTGATAGATTTTACTCTACATTTGCCATTCATGATTAGAGGATTTTCTTTCTTCAGTTATGTTCAGTCGAATTGTCAACAAACTAAAAATTGGAAATATTACATGTCAGTGTTGAGCAATAATAAATAAAACGTTTCATTCGTAAACCGAATTAAATAGCCTCGTCCTTCAGGTGGATGGCAAACCAGTGGAATCACAAACAGAAAACAACTCACGGAACGAATCATTTAGATATGCATTTGAATCAAATTGTAAATGGACAGAGTTGCAACAGTATTGTACTACCAGTCCTGTTATTTGTTTTGTTACCAGAAACTTATTGCCATTATTTCAAAGAGAATATCCAGGTTAATGAATGTTCAGATTGTAATATATGCATTTATTCCACTGCATCTAGTTTATTTTTACTTACGTTCCGTTTGAGTCACCGAATAGGGACGCTGTTTACTGGAACATGGTAGTTTTCCTCTGTAAATATAAATCACAATGGTATAAAAAAAAGTACAAAATGTGAAAATTGAAATATGAAGAGATCAACATCTAGTTCATAAACAATCCAACAGTGTAGAATCACCCACCCTGTTTTTCTTTAGAACAATTGATCTGATTTAAATTGTTCATGTGCTTTATACACTTACTTTTTATATAAGACAATGACAACACCAATCAGAATCAGACCAGCCACTGTACCCAAAATACCTGCCACAATTGGTATCGTTCTATCTTTATCTGAAATATATAAAACAATTTTCTAATTCAGATGATTTTCTTGTTCACCTTGTAAGATTACAGATAGACGAAGTCCAGGAGGAATAAAGCCATATCTGTCCAGTCTCAATACCTTTTGTTGTATATAACATTTCTTGGTCGCATAAAGTGGGAACTGAACTGCAATAAGCAATGGCAGCGCCAATGCACCCCAAGAAAAGTAGTTTATAGCCTATCCCCACTTCATTTCTAAGAGATTTCAAAATCCCGTTTCCCGTTTTTGCATAAAATGTGTTAGAATGCGCTGAATAAAATGGTCCCATTTCATTAAGTCGATCTTCCCCCTGTTTGCACCACCAGTTCCAGGTGGATAACGCCACCAGTGATTCGAAGTTTGGGCGACCATTAGTCTCCCAGAATCGTTTTCAACTTCTGCTATAAACCGTTAGCATGTTGGACAATCTCTTAAACCATTGAATTTAGTCTAACTGACATGAGCTTGCCGGCGGTCATGAAGTTTGCGGCGGCTTTGGTGAATTTTGAATTGCCAGTGAAGTAAATTCTAGAAATAAAGCTCCATTTCTAAAACCAAACTAAATTTTTTATTTCACTCTTATTTTACATAGTGAAAGGATGGCCCGTGGCCCACCTGGAATATTTTGTGGACCCTGCTCGCTCCCCTCACCTGATGTTTCCTATAAACGCAACTGTGTCTATGTGCAGTTTTCCTTGGCTCATGTCCGCTGAACAGTCTGTCAATAAAGACCACGTCAAGATGCTGTATGATCACACTTACCTTGCGTTCTATACCAACCCGAACCTCCTAGATATGTATATGAACACCCAACACTGGTACACGAAAACGCAATCGCTCTAGAAATAGAAAATACGAGGCTTTTGAGAAAGGACAGTTACATGAAATCTTCATACATTTTCTGATGAGGTCAGCTCATAAAGGAGTTATAAATACGTCTTATATTTCTGAATAATACATTTTAAAAGCATTTTCAGTATAATTACATATATAGCATCTATTGAACTCTAATTATCCTTTTAGCCGATCACTTTTTCGGTATCCGCTCCCCTGTGAACTGAAATGATCGGCCTTAAAAGCAAATTTAGGATGCCCTGTTCGTCCCGCCGTCATGATCCATTGCTCTGGATTCAATCGATTGCAAAAACACTTCTTGGTGAAATTGGAGTATAAGGTAGGCAAACTATCCAATCTCTCAGCATCCTTGCTTAAAGGTATACTACCGCTTAGGTTGACCAAAAAATAAATTTTTAAACTTTGTCAAGATGAGTCTTTCTTCATCAGTGGACTAACCTGGTGACATAAATATACAACAAAATCCCCCTATAATCCAATAAATGCAATAAATGTTTCAATAAAATTAGTCAAGTCCAACTGATGAATATATACACTTGTTCACCAAATTTGAGACCTTAAATTTTATGTCCATTCTAAGTGGGAGTATCCCATTAATTGACGCCTTGTAAGCGAACACCACTTTGCACGAGTATTGTGTACCAATAACAATAAGTGACCGATATTAAGTAAGCTCTACAAATATCTGCAGTCTGATTAACATTACATTAAACTTCCGTTCCGTTTTTATTAGCTTTTATATTTAATGTAGCCACTTCAGTAAGGGTCTAACGATTGTCCTCTTGAACGAGATATTTTTGGGTGGGCTGTCGTTAGACCCTATCTGAAGTGGCTATATTAAGAACAAAAGCTAGTAAAAAACGTAAAGAAAGTTTGGTTTAATTGTAAGTAGGCTGAAATATCTGAATAATATATAATAAACGATAAGTGTGTATATCAGCATGTGTAACTCTGTACTTACTGGTATGCTGTACCTGGTTCTAAAGGTCCATTACAAATTTCCTCAGTCGGTTTTTCATCACAACCATCATCATTGCCCGCCGTAAAGGTGGAAAATTCTGAAAAATTATAAAAACATTTGTCATTTGTAGTGTTCGTTTTAATATAAACTCATAAGGACGAGAGAGAGGGTTCTCTCAGAAAAAGGTTTACAGAAAGAATATAAAATATATTTAATATCATTGATGTAGTTAACTTAATTGATTCATTTGAAAGTATAAAGATAAAATGAACTTAGAACGATGTCGACTTGATTTTAGGTCGTAACTTCCGTATCCCAATGTCTCATCCAGATTACTACATGTCCTTCAAGTTTAATCCAACAATAAGGTCAAATAAAAGGCTAACCAATGCCGACAAAAATTCTATGACTCGTTGAATCATTTACAACGTTTTGGAACTTTGTTGACTTACCCGAATTATTAGAGAGTTTTATCCAATCTCCCTTTGTTACTAAAAATGGCGAATTAAAATCAGCTTCTTTTGCTTGTTTCCACGTGATAAACTTTCGTATTACCTGTTCGTCAATTGTTTCTAAAAATTGAGGAAATAGTTCATGTTCAAATTGCATTTCGTAAAGCGCAACAATTCATAACCAAGAATAACTTGAAAGGATTGCAGGGTATGTTTTCCCGACCTGTCTAACATTGTCTTTTATTATTGTCTCTCTTCACTCAGCAGCAAATGTCATGACCTTACAAAAAGGTTCCCCTTAACCACTTGGAGTCATCAATATACATTACAATCTAGTTATTCGTGCAACCAGTATGGCCTAACACTTAGTTTTAGTGGAATTGCAGAAACCACAGACGTCTGATTTAAAATTGGTATGGTGCAATTTGATACCATCAGTTTCCCCGATAAAACCTTTTTAAAAATTCCTTTAAGAACTCCACAATCTAATATTAGTCATTTCGCTTCCTATGCCAACTTGTACATTTTGATAACCACTTATTACATAAAGAAAAATAATAACAACTTCAACTTACATTCAATTTTATTTCTACAGTGTAGTTTGTTATAATACCATTGCGCTCCTTCTCATGTGGACATCTCCACCAAACTTTAGCATCGGAATGATTATGTCCCAGAATAATAACACGGAATACATGAACTGTACCTGCCGCTAAAAGAGACCCACACAAACACGATTACAGGTAAATAACAATGGCCAAAAATAATAGACAACAGTGCAGAACTTTGGATTCGGAGGTGCTAATGCCGTATTTTTTCGAATCTATTCAAGGAGGGTGGGGGGGATTTATTTTGTAAATAAAGGGCTCAAATCCTCTATTTTTGAAATCTCAGTTGTAAATCAATACGGCGTAATGAAAAGACAAATTGTAACTTACGAGCTGTGGGTGTCCTGATTTGCTTTGAGTATGAATTATTCGAGCTTTCATCATTTAGTAGAAATACCCTTACAGCAGCTCTGTAGGTCCAGTAACCAACAATACGATTGCTGTGGATATACTTGGTAGTGTTGTAAGCTGTAATAGAAACGAGCAGTTGAAAAAATGCCATTCTCTCACGCAAGATTAAAATCCATCGGAAAATCGTGCAAAAATCTGATCATTTCTTTCTAATCGCGTCCACACGCCAAATTGGACATATTTTGGCAAATAACCCAATATCTATTCCTCTGATATTTGTGAAAAAAAAACAAACACGTTCAAGATCTCCCTATGAATAAACAAATGATTAAAAACCTCGTCTCTTTTGCGACCACAAGCAAATTGTGTATTCTAGCAAAGAAGACAGCAGAAGTGCAACAATATCAGCTTCTTGGTTTAAATGTTCGAAAACTCGTAATTTCTGTATACGATTTTATTACAAATTTTTAAAAGTGAATTTGAGGCGCATTGAAAAAGAAAGAAATCAACGTAACTGCTAACATGGCTTTACAGAGAAAGAATGCAATCATCAGAAATGCTAAACACACAGCGGACAATTTCATAACTACTTTAATCATTTCAAAAAAGATAAATTTAACATCAACCTCTTTCTCTTCAAGGCTTTAATTCAGACCACGTTTCATTAAAATCGGATCAAAACTCTAGGTCCTATCGCGTTCCAATTAAGGACAAAGGGGCTGACAATATACCTCCGAATTATGGGTATATAAAAAGTTTATCTACCGTTCTTGCCAATATGTGCGGTATACAATGTTTTATCTGCTACTTCACTGTCTCGCCTTTCTGTTTCAAACATTTCTACAACAAACGCCATAGGACCAGGGTATTCTGCTAGTTTTGTCCATGTAACAGTTAAATTAGTGGCTGTTTGGTCCACTATTTCAACTTTAGATGGTGGAACAGGATCTGGAAAATATAAATCAATCAGCCAACAGTTAAATAAACTGGATATTAAAGTGTATTTCAAAGAAACTGATACTCATCAACTCTTGCACAAGAGCTCCTTTCACCCAAAACATACCTTTTCTCGTATAATTAAGTCACAAGTTTTACGATTTCATCGAATTTGCACAAGTTCTTCTGATTTCAACCAAGCCTGTACGATTGTTTTCTCAAAACTGAAAGAGCGTGGGTACTCTAAACGATTTTTACAAAAAACATAAAAAATTCCACCTTAGCACAGATAGTAGCTAAAAACAGGCTTTATGCCGAAGTACCTCCAGGTTTAAGAAGTGCTCCATGTTTGGGCAGTAGATGCAAAACATGTCCCTTTATATCAGAAATTCATTATTTTTAAGCAACTCTACGAATAAAAGGTACCCGATACAGGAACATCTAACATGTGAACATCCGAATTTAATATATTTAATTTCATGCAAGAAATGCCCTAAACAATATGTAGGAGAAACTAAGAATAATATACGAACTCGTTTTAATGCTAATAGGTCGGATATCAAAGAAAGACAAGCCTGTTTCTAATCATTTCAACCTCGACGACCATATTCAATAGACGATCTCGCCCTAATCCCAATTGAGCGTATAGAAATTGACTTGCCAGAAGATGAAACTACCAAATTCCGTCAAGCTAGGGAAGCCCATTGGATTGAGACATTGAATACAGCAAGACCTATAGGACTAAATATTCATCATAATGTAGGCATAGCACCCTTTGTTGTCCCGTTTAATACAACCAGCAATCGAGTAAGCAAGATATTTCATGCCCACTATAAGAGCCTTCAAGAGAAATTCCCCCATGTCTATAAGCAGAAAATGATAGTTGCATATTCAAAAAATAAGAACTTAAATGATAATATTGTTCATAGTAAACTAACAACAATCAGCACATAACAGATACTATACTTCTCGCCTATCGGGCGAGTTATTTTTTCTAATTTTAGATCAGAATAAGAACAGAAGAAAACCCAATATCAAGACCCTTAATCCTAATTTCTAAATAAAGTGTCTGCTCCACCCTAGGCCTGTACATTTGGGAGAATCAACCCTCCCTTCCCCGAAACCCAATTGAGCGAAAAGAAATTGACTTGCCCGAAGATGAAACTACCAAATTCCGTCAATCTAGGGAAGCCCATTGGATTGAGACATTGAATACAGCAAAACCTATAGGACTAAATATTCACCATAATGTAGGCATAGCACCTTTTGTTGTCCCATTCAATACAACCAGCAATCGAGCAAGCAAGATAGTTCATGCCAACTATAAGAGCCTTCAAGAGAAATTCCTCCATGTCTATAAGCAGAAAATGATAGTTGCATATTCAAAAAATATGAACTTAAATGATAATATTGTTCATAGTAAACTAAAAACAATCAGTACATAACCAGAATCAGAATCAGAACAGAAGAAAACCCAATATCAATACCTTTAATCTTAATTTCTAAATAAAGTGTCTGTTCCACCCTAGGCCTGTACATTTGGGAGAATCAAAACCTCTCTTACCCGAAAACTAAAAACGATTATTGACGGAGTTAGACAAAACTTGGTGATATTGTTCAATTGCACCCCTAATAGGTTGAATATTTCATTCTGGTGATATAACTCTACTGCCAAATATATTGATTCAAAATCAAATCTGCCAGTGGGCGTATTACCTCCTTTGGCTGGCAAGCTATCTTCTTAAATAAGGAAATAATATTGCACTTGGTAGGACTACGACATAAACTTGTGTGTTAACGCTTAAGACACATATTTGGTATTTTTTTTAAATTTGTATTTTTTTTTCTGGAGCCCTCTTAAACCCGTGGTCTTAGTTCAACCAGTCCCTGTAGTAGTTGAAAAACTGTCTTTGTCATACCCAGTTAAATGTATAGGTAAATGTCTATTTTTTACAGTTGAGTAATGGTGTGTAAACTTATCTAACTTCGATTGTCTATGGTCCGACCTAGTTGCTGTTTTAAATATTGATCTATTACCTTTATATTCAACACAATTCCCAACATCATCTTCAAAAAACAGTTTCCGGTCACAAATACAGTAGTCATTCTTACACACGTATGGTGTTGATGGACTTCCACACGTTGATGTATCATTTCCACTACAATTGTCACCAGCTTTACCATCAACATAGAACTAGATGTAAAATATAATGTTGTTTATAAAAATGTTCCTTTTTTAGGATTATTTATATCTCGATCCCCCAAAAAAGCGAAAAAAATACTTCTGAGACAATTAAAAAACTGTAACCCTACTTACTCTAAAAAAGTGTCACAATTACTCAGTTACTCAACTTTGTTGAAGAATACACTATGAACAGAGTCTTACTTCATGAAGTTGCTTTTCTGTACATTAGTGTTCAAATTCTGTACAAGATTAAAGAGATTTGTTAGGAGTTTCATTAGTCAAGGACGCCCAACGAGTCGAAATACTTCGACTCTTCCCTACTCTGTTTCTTAATACTCACGGTCGGTTTATACAGGTCGATGTAAACTATACACAAAAGTAAAAGTATAAAATTCCCAAAATTCATTATAACATTCATCAATTTGAAAACACATCAGAGTTCTTCTTCAACTAAATATTTAGGTAATGGTATAGATCGCAAGATAAAATTTTGTAAGGTACAACTACGTATATTGCATTTTTATTACTTAATGTAGGTCAAAGCGATGTCTGAAATAAATTCAGGACTTTACAATCCATTGTTGAATTTTTAACATTATGTGAAATTCATTAGACTTAGAAGTTCATACATGTACACTTTCTGATGCCGAAGAAATTATAAAAACAGCGCTGATAATAAACCGATTATATTTCTATGAACATACCTAACGTACACTCGGGTTTCAATGTAGACTCTACCAACCTGTAAGCCTACCATCTCGGGAGAAACCGGTTTGTACGGCGGTCCGCTAGAGACATCAATATTTTGTCTTTTATTCTTCATACACCCACCTATGTCTTTTTTCAAAATATTAAAAGTCCTGAGTGGTTATATCGCTCGATTTTAGAAATTTTAAAAATAGATTGTATTGTTTTATGTTCTACTTTTCCGCATTTAGTCGGGTTTTTGAGTACGGGGAACGCCATGTAGTATACAATGAGGGAGATTTGGTCAGGAAAAAGATTTCCATTTGTGAAGGGATCCCTTTCCCGCCCCAGGACCTTCATCACTGACAGGGAAAAACTGGGTAGAAAATTCCAAAGTTGTTGATAGATTTAATGACACGACTTTTAAATAGATGGAACACAAAATAAATTCAGTGATGCCTATAATGCCCATGCTTCTACATGTGAATCAACGCAAAGTCCTTTTAAGATAATCAGTACTAGTATTTAATTCGATATTCTAATTCTCATAAAATTTGTTAGTAAAATTCCATATATCGATGAACTTAATATTAATATTTTATCAGAGAACTGATGTGGATCGTGAAAAATGCTTTTGAGGTGCTTAAATCAACTGTCAAGATATATCCGCCCTGTGCACAATGCCAGATAAATCCGGGTCGGGTGAGCGTTGCAAGGACAAACATATATAACAAAATATTTTTTTATTAAAATATTGTAACAATTAAAATTTATACAATAGAACAACATTTTAAAAAGAAAATGAACAGACATAACCACAAAAAAAAAAAGAAAAAAAAGATGTTTATTAAAAATGCAAGGCATGAGATTTCAGCTATCTCGGGCGGATATTTGAATACGGAATGTGCGAATCTCCATTGGTTTGAGGAGTATATGGAACGGAGCTTGTAAAGTTGAGGAATCTTGCGTGGAACCTGTAAAAAAGTAACGTTTAAAATTATCTGTTATGAACTGGTATGTGCTAAAGAGACAGATGGGCCGTTTTCGGGGATGATTTGAGTCTTGAATATATGTAAATAGTCTTCAGAAGTATTAGAAATGTACGAAAATTGCATAATTCCTTCAAAAATACCCCAAACTAGGCTTCACTTACTATTTCCATATATGTCTTTTCTATATGATAGAAAGTTTAAAAGACGACTGTCTTTTTAACTTTCAAACGCGGGTGATTCTGGACATAGATGGATATGAAGGCTCAAATTTCGATGGTGGGCTTATCTAGAATTTTCCTGTTTCTGAGACGATTGGTCAAAAAAGGGCCCACCTGTCCCTTTAATGTCAAAAAAAAAAAAAAAAATGGTATGAACTCGATACACCAATTTCTGCTAAAAATTAGGAATTGAATTTTAGTTATAAAAGTATAAAAGAGTATAAATCATCACATTTATTTCGATTCTAAAATTTGAATATCTAGTCCGGTGATGGTAGATCCTTTCCAAATCAAATAATGATAGAACTTTACCTAGTCAAATGATATCTTATTGTAAATCAAATTTAACCATGTCCTTGTTGGATGACGCTTTACGTTTTCAGATTTTTCTACTTTCTTAGTCAAATGATGGTAGATCCTTACCTTGTTAGATGATGATAGATCTTTACCTTGCCAGATGATGATAGATCCTTACCGAATCAGATGATAATAGATCCTTACCTTGTCAGATGATGGTGGATCTTTACCTTGTCAGATGATGATAGATCCTTACCGAATCAGATGGTGGTAGATCTTTACCTAGTCAGATGATGGTAGTCCTTTACCTAGTCAGATGATGAGAGACCCTTACCTAGTCAGATGATAGTAGATCCTTACCTTGTCAGATGGTGGTTGATCCTTACCTGGTCAGATGATGGCAGATTTTTACCTTGCTAGATGATGGCAGATTAGACTATATTAACCTTGTAAGGTAGTAAGGATATTGTAAATCTCTCTTAACCATGTCCTGGATGGATCTTGACGTTTTCAGATTTTTACCTAGTCAGATGATGGTAGATCTTTACCTAGTCAGATGATGGTAGATCTGATGGTAGATCTTTACCTAGTCAGATGATGGTAGATCTTTACCTTATCAGATGATGATAATCCTTACCTTGTCATATGGTGAGAGATCTTTACCTATTCAGATGGTGGTAGATTTTTACCTTTTTAGATGATGGTAGATCTTTACCTAGTCAGATGATGGTAGATCATTACATTGTCAGATGATGGTAGATCCTTGTTAGATGATGATAGATCTTTACCTTGTCAGATGATGGTAGATTTTTACATAGGTAGATCCTTATCTGGTCAGATGATGGTAAATATTTACCTTGCAAAATGATAATGGATCCTTACCTTATCAGATGATCCTTACCTTGTAAGATGGTGGTCTATCTTAAACTAGCCAGAGCCTATGAGATCTATCTTTACTTAGTCAGATGGTGGTAGATTTTTATTTATTCAGATGATCGTAGATTTTTACCTAGTCAGATGATGGTAGACTTTTACATAGTTAAATGATATCTCTTCCGAATCAGAATTTATCATAAATTTGTGTTTTGTTATTTGTGTTTTGTTTAGAGTCAGATTTTAGTAAATAATTTTCTATCTAGTCTGATAATGGTAGATTGCTGGTCAGTTATTGTCACTGACAATTTCATGACTCATGATCATAGCGAGAAAACACAACACCAAGAATCATCTGAAACTTACCTATTTTACTGGGAGAAACAGAGCCATCGTCAGTTGTCCACTGTAATCTTGTAACATCGGAAATATGAAAATTACCACCAAGAGATAGTTCAGTAATAAAAACAATATTAAATGGTGTAAATAGCTCCTGCAATAAGAAAAATTGGCTGTTAAAGCATGGGTCTACTACAGAGATTAGAAACTGTTTCATTGTATAGGATACAGAAGAACAAGAGAGATTAAATCCACACAAACATGAACACAAGTGTATCATTAGACTGCAAGTGATCAAATGGAAACACTGGCATTTTTCTTCAAATAATTAGACAGCCTAATCGGAAAACCAGGGAACAGGCCCCGTATTCTCGAAACGATCTTAGCGCTAGGATGCCCTAGAATCAATGTTAGAAGATAAGAAACCAGGACGTCCTAGCGCTAAGATCGTTTCGAGAATACCGGGCCTGGATTATTGGCCGACCACGATGTGTAGGCTAATTTGTTCATTAGCAACTTTTTTGTGATGGTATGATGTTGTTTTTGTAAATTATATTTTATTCAAAATTGTTTAAGAAAAATCACAGTAAAAATAGTTTTATTATTATCATTGAGAAATTTGTTGCCACAAAAAGTTGATTACATGGCGTTTAATTTCTTCTGATTTTAAGTGAAAATATATCATGTTTATTTGTCTTTTTCAATAATGTTAACACGGAATAAAATTTCTTCACATCCAATATTTCGTAACAACACCTGCGCTAGTTTTTAATTCAGGATATGTTATAGAATTTTAAAAAGGTAATAAAATTCCCTATGGCGATACGCCTGCAGATGCCTACAATGACACAACATTGAAGGTTACAAGTAGGAAAATATTTACTGGCAAATTTCCAATTGGAAAAACATATTTATTAAACAAACCTAAACTGTTTAAAATTTAACACTTGATGTTTTTTATGTCACCTGCCATTCATGATTCGACGAATTTTTTTTTATGCATCACATGTCTTGCCTTAATATATGCGAGGTTCAGTGTAAAAACATTAAAACTGTCCAATATTCATATCGTTTTGCTTACACTATGTCAACTTTCGGCCCAATACTACAAAGTCAAATGTTAAAAATTTAGAAGAAGATTTTGTCAGATCAATACAAACTGTTGAAAAAAACGAAACATTTGGATCTGCATTCAATCAGATTTTCCAAAAAAGAAATATTTTTGCTATAGTCTAACAGTAAGTTCATCTGCGTATAATGGCAAACAAATCTGAAAATCGGACCGTTTTCTGAAATCAGTTACAATTAGAGTTCGTGAAACAAGGATGAATTGTCCAATGAAAAAAATAGAATGATTTTTTAAGATAAACAAATATTCACAATTTTGTATAAAAAGGGAAGTTTAACACAATTTGTGTTATTTTGAAGCTGGCGCAATATCCACCTTTTACATTATTTTGAAACAAGTCTGAACCCCCACATAAACATTCATTAGACCAGACTTAGGTTTTATATAAAGTTCAATAATAATATAGTGTTTTTTTTTTTGAAAATACAAAGTGAAATATTGCGCAATGTCATTTGGACACTGAGTTTCAGTCACACTTTAGAATTATTTGTTATTAGATGATAAAAATGTTCCTGATCTTAATAATAAATCAATCAAAAATTTACCTCTAAAGATACTGTGACTTCTTTGGATAATTCGGAATGTTCTTTTGCTTCATAAATATGTTCTAATCGTAATAAATAAACCTCAGTTTCACCAGGCAGAATTTGGTCTAATGTTAATATGTTGACATTTGGTGGTAATCGATTCCTCAAACCAGACCACTGAAAGGGGAAATTCGAATACGAAATTCAGAATGAGAAATATGACAAACTAGCATTTTCTATTTGACAACTCAGGCAAAACACTTTTTCGCAATGAACAAAAAGTCGCAATTGACTTCATTTTCCCCAAGAAACATGATCAACATGAACAGTAAAATGTGTGACTAAATACCACAGAAAATGATTTTATTCTGGCTACTTAAATGCCCTTGTACAAAGAACAGTTCTCCATGAATTTGTGCCTAGAGCACGAATGAACTTCTTTTGTTTAAAATCGAAAATTGACAAGCAGTTATACAAAGTTCCCGGTCCTTTTATATACAGTTCATTGAATTTTAATATTTTGATATTCCAAGTTGTTTTTCTTTCTTTTGATTGGATGGTATGCTAGCGAATACAACTAATCAGAGCTAACTGTAAAGATTGTAAACCATTTAGCTAAACGTGTGTTATTGGAGGCTATGTTTGGTTGTATTCGCTTAGTAAATCCTTTTCAGGTACCTCATAATTATACACCGTCTTGAATGCATCAAAATTAGTAGTGGTAGCTGTAAATGACAGAGTTGGTTGAAGATGTATTTTTAATGCCATGTCTCTAGTTACTTCATTTGATTTCTCTATACCATCGATAAATAAGTAATGTTTCCCTGAAAAAGAAGAAAGTGATCCACGATTTAAATCCGTCATTGGGTGTTATTCTTACAATCTTTCCTTTTCATTCCATTCGGTATACATGCGTATACGTTATACAACAAAGATCAATTTGCAATAGGTTTCGATCAGTTTCTTAGGAATGTTAATACACGAACATGCCAATGGCGTCTGCTCATCTTTGGATTGAAGGGGTCCGAATTTTAGTCGAATCAATTTGAACCGCTACTCGAATATGCATACAGTAAGCATTTCGTACGTCACCAGTGCATTATCTTGTCTTAAGAATTGCTTTTAATGACGACATCTAATGCAATTCTTTTATTTTTTCTTGAGAATGGTACCTATTTCTATGACAACATCTCATTCAATGCCGACCTTGATTTGTGTTCTTCGGTAACCAGATTAAGTTTGAAAATGTTGGACATCAAATTCCATTTCATTTTTTCATGAGTAACCATTTCTAGTTCATAAACTAAACAAAAATCCAAACCAACCTTTATAGATTATGCCTTTTTGATCTTCGCCTAATTCGTTGAGATTTTCTGACACTCCTAAGCCATCATCTCTAAATAATCGTCTATGTACCTAGAATATTTTAAATACGCTACAAACATAAGGACTCAACTGCCAAAAACAATTTTCAGAGGAACATGCAACATACAACAAACAACAGTCTATTGCTTGGAGCCTCTTTGTGGCTTTATTTTTCAGATTCTGCATATAACATACTGGTTACTTAAGTCAATTGCAGCATTCCGACAACTCATTGCACCATTATAAAGAATGTAAATGATGGAATTATTTCTACTCTTGTTATTTAGATTCACATTCCAGAGCGCTGTCCACAATTGTACCAGCGTATGCACATAGTTTTCATGTATTTGGTGAATTTGGTATGTGTGGTCATTACATTAGGACAAATGTATATTTGATGGGTAAAGAGCCTCTTGAACATCTCCGAGTAGTGTCACTGAAACTGTCGATAGCTGCTGAATGCGGTGTAACGATCTTGTCAAAGAATATCTGGTGTCATTTCTTACCATTAATTCCATGCTGCCATCTTGAATACTTCCTCCCGCCTGACACCTATCAGTCATTACACTAACTCTTACATCCTTGGACTCATCCTAAACAAAATGAAACATTATACTGATTAGCTAGGAAAAACGATAAATGTCCAAACTAGTAGGCTACTTCGATGTTACATTGAAAAATGGCATTGCAAATAAAGATTGTATAAGCCAAGAAATTAAACAATTTAGTTTTTTTCTGATGATCAATGGTTTCATTCTGTTAGTGGTCACAATGGCAAATTCAGTTTTTTAGTACCAGAGTTTTGCCATGAAATCCTTGTTTTATCTCTTCATGATGTTAACTAAAGCTGGAAGTACCTGTATAAACATTTTACTTGTTATAGGATAATAATTTCCTGATACGGCTTCTATCACTTGTAAATTCCATGTTTCACGTTTATCTCGTCTGAAATCACATGCACAATGAAAAATAGTATATCTTTAATGATCCAGTTTCATATTGCTGATACAGTATTTAGACAGTAGGAGAAAATCATTTCGCAATGTGCCATTAAAATTGAGCAAAGACTTGGACGTTTTATTTAATTAAGGGTAGGATAAATAGCATCCGAAACTATGTAAGTCACACCTTCAGTGTCTTCAATATCTGTATACAAGGTAGACTGACAGCACAAATGTGCATAATTACCTTCGTTCAGGGTAAATCTGTTGCAAATTACTATTACCCCACGGACTAACAAGTGTTTTGCACAGTTATAAGTCTTACTGAAACTTTATGTTAATTTAGTAATTAATATCTTATACAAAATCTAATCTTCAAAATAAGGTATATGAATATTGAAAAACATTGTTTAAGATAAAAACGTTCAATGTGGACCCACTCCAGTAATTAATTTTATGCTAATACGAATGTAGTCCGTGCTGTGTAGTCCATATTTTAGGAATGAAGTCCTTGCTCTATTTAGAAATCCTCTTTCTCCCTCTCTTTTGTGGGCTTTGTGTGCCTATTTTTGACTAATATTTGGTCTAGACATGGAATTTGATGCCTGAAATTGTATTTTCTTTCAGATTTGTGAGATGATGAGAGATAATTCTAAAAATAGTCGTTTTGTGTGCATTGACAGTCAAGTGGATGTTGATAAAATGTAGTGGTCTACTTTCAGTTTGGCTAGTTCAAGATTTTTATGTTCATGATATATTGAATTTTTGTCCAGAAACTAAGCATTGCTTCGAAGGTTGAATTTATGAGATTTGGCATGGAAACAGAGTGTGTCCTGTCTGTTACACAATTTAGTGGTTATTCCCCTTGGACCGAAATGATTCACATACAGCACAAATTCACTTATGGTCACTTTATAGCAATTTCCAACTTACCTTCTTTTTAACATTTCTCTTCCATTAGAATCAGTATAGAATTCGCCTTTACTATCAATATTAGTGTTAAATCTTGATATTACTTCACGGCCCACATAATCGCTGTAATATGTCAAAATTATCAGAATTCAATTCTAATCATATCCTGATACACTGAACGCAAAAAATATGAATAAAATTTACTTCAATGAATTACTTGCAACAATTCGAATATGGTTCTATATATTTGTGTCTAAAATGTTACTTAAAGTGACAGTGTTTTCCAATATACAGGAAAAATCTTTATATCCAAGTAGGCATTGGAGGATGCATTGGACAGGCAATTGGTGGAAGAATTAAAAAAAAAAACAGACAGTTTTTTAAAATGTTATAACCAAATGAAGTTTTAGTCTAAAAATATTGTATATTATTGGCCATTGGAAGGAAGCCGTATTCGAATCACAATCAACATCATTTTTAATGGTAAAGCTCTTACCACCCTTATTCTGGATATATAAAATCAACAGCACAGACACCAGCATTAGAACGTATGAAAAAACAAAAATTGTTAGTTCTTGGTTTATTTATTATAACAAAGGTTTGCAATTTGGTTAACAATGATTAGTACTTACTTTCCAGGGATTGGTCCAACTTGCCATTCCAATTCAACATAAGGACTATTATCATATAATCTTATCACTTGAGATACCCAGGAACTGAACTCTTGGTGAATTTCTTTAACATTTACACCCTAAAAACAACCCCACACATATAAGAATTATGAAATTTCTTAAGGACATCATTGATAGGCAACTAGCTTAATTGTGATGAAGGAATCCTTTTTCATGTAGACCCTATTGTCTCTTTTTAAGTTTAACCACTTATTCGAAAGCATCCAAGTAAACCTGGTGGCGCTCGATTGGAGAGTTCTGAACTAGTTTCGTCTGTTCCAAATCTGACCTCAATTGATTTGAGCACAAGTATAGCAACTATATAGTGTTTAAGTACAATTAAGGTGCGGGCACACGAAGGGTCTTGGTCGGAGATGTCGCCGAATAGAGTCTTGTCAAGAGTTTCACCGACTGGAAAGGGCACACGAAAAGACAACAATCTCTATCGGTCGTTTAACTTTACCTGTATTTGTCTTTGTTTTTGGGTTGGTGCCCGATAGTTCTCCGATCGCTGCCCGGAAAGATAGCATTTGGCCGACCAATCCTCACCCACCACTCGTCTCCTACGCATACGTAAGTTGCAAAATCACAAGATTAATATCCATACCTGAACAATTTTTACTGCTACTGGATTTTGACCTCTAATTTTTGTGGGATTTTTAAACTTCGGAATAAAGACGTAAGCACCCGACGCTCTCATACTAGTATCACCGATGTAATAATAGAAATCTTGCTCCAGTTTTACAGCTTTACCACTATTGAGATTTGTGGCACTCTTCACAAGTCCAGTGTTGCCATCAAACGCCAATTCTATCATCTAAAAATATACAGATAGGTAGTTGCAAGCAATACAGCAACTTAAATGTCCCTTGGTTTATCAATTAACGCCAGAATCCTCAGGGATCCCAGTAAATCAGTTGAAGGTAATTTCCTAAATAGAAATATATTCATCTCCGAAAATAATTTTGTTTAACTGATATTATTCTAAATTCAAAAAAATACCACTGGCCAAAAAAAAAATATAAGAGTAAATCCTTTCAAAGATGAAGTCTGAGATCTCTGAATGCTCGAATCCGAATATCCGGGCGCTTGCTGAAATATATTAATAGAAAGGAATTCCATAATATCACATCAGGATCTGATTGACATATTTTCCAAAATATTTTTTTTTTCTGATTCAAGACTTTGTTTTCACACAAGACAAAATAAATGAATTCAAATAAAACTGTTGGGAGGAAATTTTAATTATTTGACAGGACTTTCATTTTGAAAAGAATCGGAGTGATCAAAGTTGTTATTAGTAATTCAATCAAGAGAACACAATACCCACCTTATTACCTACTGTAAAATCAGACTTAGGTGCTGGTGACACTGGTAAAAGATTCCCACTGCCTGCAATAATAGCAGTGTAGAAATAACATATTTGTACAATGATTCACGTCTTTGACGTTTCTGAACCATATATGTGAACAACGACTCCTTCTGCTCATTTTGACAATTTGAATATAAGTTGTTTTTCTCTTATGTTGATTATGTCCGACTTAATCTGAGTGAGTCTCTTTTGATTTTCCAAACTTACTTTAAAATTGCCTCCCAAGTGCTGCAAAAAATCTTTAAAGAAACATTGTGACGTGGCTATTGTAATGGCAAAGCACTGACGTTTCCATTAGCACGCGAAGGAGGGTAATGGTAGAATGCCTCTATTTTTAGGGTAAATAATATGTACACTTACCTAACTGAGCAGAAACATACACAGTTTTGAAACCAAAAGGCGGCAATGTTAACAAAAAAACTATTTCATTCGCAGCTGTTGATTTCCTTCCAGGTATAGACTTAGTTTTCTCTGATATTGGAATCATCTGGAAAAGAAAAGGAACAAAAACGTAAGTAGGCCTAATCCAAAGCAATTTATGCACAAGGCACACTATGTTTTGTATATACTCTCTTTTGAAGAAAATACTATCAACGTTTTCGGACTTGAAGAAGAATTTGATGAAAGGTTATGAAAATACGCCAATGCGGTTAACAGTGAAACAATGCAACTTCCATAATTATATGATCTTACGAAATACCTACATTAAACAATTATTTTGAAAATCAAGGAGCTATAGTACTGTTCTACATTATGCAAGATTTTAGAAATTCAACGGACGGGCGGACGAGCAAGCTGACACCAGTGCCAACAATATACGTGTATAGGGAGAGGTCTTAACTCGTAATAACTAGCCCTCGATCTTAACAGTTGGAAACAAACACTTTGTATTCCTAATTTTTCCTGACAAGGAGGAATGAGACATTCTTTTATTATGATAATTTCAGTCGAATTGATCAAGATATCAATAAAAGGTTGTGACGGTAACATACGGATATGACCTTTGTTCAGTTTACTAGTTACAGCTGTGGATATGTTGTATTTAAATCAATAGCTGTAAACATCTAGAATTAAAACTACTGACCGCTATTCTACTTGCACCATTCAAGTATCGTTATCAAGGTATAAATGATATAACGGGACTTACATCAGAAGTAACTTCATTCGAGTTTCCATCAATAACTTTATACTTTTTATCTGATACTGGTAATCGCATCCAATGATCAACGGCTCTTGACAAAGGATTATAAGTATGGACAAAGAACTGAAAATTAAAGGAAGGTACAAATATTTCGATGATATCAAAACACACGAAACAATGTCTCATGTTGTCAGTGGCTAGTCAAAGAAGATATTAAAATGATACCAAATCATTGTTCTCAATAGCTATATTGTGTACATAAAAATATATGATACAAAAAAAAAACTATTTGAAACAACTATCTAGATAATCCACCATATAGCACCTTTTGAAGCCCCCCCACCCCCCTTTCCTGAGAAACAAAAACATTATCAATTCGTTTCGGATATACGACATGTCTGATTTGACCAATAGCAAGATTTAAGAATGTGAATTTTCTCACAACTATACCTGAGCATTTGATTCTGATACGTCACATTCCGTTATGTTCAATTTTTCACAGAATTCAAATTTAGGTATATCTTCTTTACTGGCTTCTGACTTCAAAAATAATTTTGGAAAAGCCTCTTTGATAACAGACTACAAAATATTAAAAATAAATTAACACATAAAATTTCTCAGTGAAACATTCTATCTTTATTGGGCTTATATAAGCAAAGAATATCTACCCGAAAATTCCTATCAATGACAACATAATATGTTCCAAGCTTCATATTACTTATTGATATGACCAAGATTATCCATACATACCCCGTTTTTCGACTAAGGGCTTTTTGACCCCATTTTATCTGGTCTAGGTTTGCAGTATCATTGGATGAATAATCTTTAAATAAAATTACCTCACATTTTTCTATGCCTTCACTTAGTAACTTATTATAATCATTGGCTACATGTTCCTTTTCTGTCCCACTGAAATATAATACATTTTGTCCGGTCAGAGGCATTTGTCTACTTTTTTCGATTACTTTCCAGTGGAGTGAAGGTCACGACCTGTAGCACACTGAGACACGATTTACTGTCCCATCGCAAAGCTTCTTTACCATGCTAGTCTCTTTGATCTGCATGACTGAGGTGAAAGCAATTGAAGAATCGGAAGATATTAGCCCTATCTATGCACGATATCAAACCCTGGATCATCAAAATTGCCCGAGCTCTAAGCACTGTATTAGTTCAGTCTTTCCATTCGGTGGCGTAGCGAGAAAATCATTGACTGGGGTTGACGGTGATTCTTTATGGATTTCAAAAGGTCACTAGTAATGGTTGGGGTTAAAGGGGGGGGGGGGGGGAAGTGGAAGTAGAATAAATTTTCAATTGATTTTAAAACAATAGTCTGTAGAGTTAAATTATTGTTGCAGAATGTCGTTTCTGTTTATTTTATTATAACAGGTAAAAATAACCAGTTTACAAGTCAGATGAAAACATCTTATTGATCAAGTTTGAACCAACATAAAAGTCGTGTAATCAAATAATTTATCTTTTAAGCCATTAAAATGTCAATAATTAATACACAAGTATTCCATCATAGGTAGGCCCATGTATAATATCAAGTTATGATAAAATATCACTATATATGTTAACGTTTTTTTTATATATCAATGCTTACTTACGTTATAGCATCATGGTGCTGTAATATTCCCTGAGCTCTTTCTGAAAAAATAATGACGTTGCGAATATCTGGCTTAATTTCCACAAAACAATACTA